ATAGGCAAATGCATACACTGGAAATAGAACAGAGGCTATCAGGGATGGTGGTGATGTTGGTAAGGTTTTGACTGGCTAATGTTTTCCTTCTTTCTCTTGTATATAGTCACTGTGAGTGGGAACTGGCTCAAGAGGAGGGTGTAATGAAGAGTTATTAACGGGCAGTTATGGTACAAAATATTTTAAGTATCTGGAATGCGATCGTGGTGAACGTTATACAACATTGTGAATATCCACTTTACTGTACACTAAACCGTGGTAAATGGCTGTATTTTATCATGGTAATAGGCAAAGGAAACCCTCTAACCCATCTGAGCTGCTCTCCTAGAGGCGAACGAACTTTCCCTTGTTGCAAATCCTAGTGATCTCCGAAGGTCACGTTAGCACTTCCTGGGCCAAATCAGTCCTCATTCCAGAGATTAAATAACTATACGCTCCTCAGAAGAACTCTTCATTACCCAGCCACTAGGCAGACCTAAGTCTCACTAGAAGATAGGTATACTGTATTCATTACCACTCCGTCCTACGTGTGCCTGGAAAGTACCACCAGAGTGCTCCTTGGAGGCAAGGGAGGTGAGACTGATGCACTCTGGACATGCTGTCAGGAAAGACCAGTCCCTGGAGGCCATCATGCTTGGCACGCAGAGGGCCAGAAGGAAAGAAGGATCTAATTGAGATCTAATTGCCAACAATTCCAGGATGGGGCAGTTTTTGGTGTGCATGGGGTCACTAGGGGTTGGAACCTACAGCCACCAAGTCTTAAAGCACCACCTGGAGCAGCGGTTCTCAACCTGTGGGTCAAGACCCCTTTGGGGGTCGAACGACCCTTTCACAAGGTTCACCCGATTCATAACAGTAGCAAAATTAGCTATGAAATAGCAAGGAAAATAATTTTATGTTGGGAGGAGGGTCATCACAACATGAACAACTGTATTAAAAAGTCAAGGCATTAGGAAGGTTGAGAAACATTGACCTAGACCAGGAGTGTCAAACTGGCGGCCCGTGGGCCACATGCAGCCCCCAAGGTAATTTTTTGTGGCCCACAATGCTCTGAAATAAAATGTAACGAGGGAAGTGTGTGTATGGTATTGCCTCGAACTCCCCTAAGCGCTGTTTTCTTCGTAACAATTTTTTTTCTATTTTCAGTTTATTTCAGAGCATCGTGGGCCACAAAAATTACCTCTGGGGCCACATGCAACCCGTGGGCCGCCAGTTTGACACCCCTGACCTAGATGATCAGCCCTCTGGTTCTCTCGGTGACTCAGAGAAGCGTTACAACCCTGAGGAAGCTTCTTCCTTCACGATTCATTAGGGTGCAATTCCATTGTAAGCATTTATTCAAACTCCTAAATGAGAAGACAATTTTATTCAGCACTTAATGAAACGAGTAAAATCCTCTTGGCCCTTCAGTTTCTGGTCAATGCTGAAGGCATGTCAGTCAGTAGAGATGAAGGGATGCAGTTAACACCTCAGCATCTTCCAGCACAGCCTTCATTGAGATAGGCTTTATTAGAAAATGAGCTCACTGAGATAGGCTCTGGGATAAGCAGCAAAAACAAAAAGCCCCACCCACCCCACTCCCGCAACTAGACCAGTTGATGTCAGTAGATTTGAACTCATGGCGACTCCGTGGGTCAGAGCAGACCTGCGTTCCACAGGGCTTTCAAGGCTCTGACTTGGGAAGCAATCACCAGGTCCTTCAGAGGTGCCTCAGGGAAGATTCAAACAGCCAACCCTTTGGTTAAAACTATTTTATAACAGAAACCTTTTATACAGAAACCCAACCAATGTAATCAGCTGATTACCAATCGACTGTTAAGGTGCTATCTCTGTGAGGTTACATCCCAGTTGCTTTACAAACGCGTTTAACCCCAGGTGGATCTGGAAGTGCTGTAAGAAGAGGGGCTCAGGAGTCCTTGCTAACAATTCTGGGGGATTCCAATGTGAATCCAAGACCCAGAAATACCGAGTCAGATTTAAGAGCAGTCACATCCCAAATCAAAAATCACCTCCAGTGGCACAGTTGGTCAAGAGCCAGCCCCACTCAAACAAGCACCCTCAAATCCCGGGGCTCCATTCCCTACTAGCCCCATGCCATCACCACTGCCCACTATACACTGACCCAGGTCTCCACCTTCTCCCCCAAACTGTCTTCACTGCTTACCCTTTTTCCTTTCTCATCCTATCCAGTCCCATCTTCTTTAGGTGGGCTGCAATCTGATCAGATTAATTTCCACACGAGACCCACCCCACACACACAAAAACAAACTAAAAGTAATTGGACACTCCTTTCTGAAAGGTTGTTTTGTTTGGGCCTCAAACATTTTGTGGGAATGCAGGATGTTTAGGGAACACAAATTTTCTTACCTCCCTAGATAGAAGTTTACCTAGATGTATTTGTCACTCAGGATATAAACACACCACGCTGTATGTTTATACTAAATTAATGTGAGAGTAGCCAGAAAGACTACTGTTTAGTGGCACATTAACCAGAAATGGAAATAGAATCCCATCACACGAACCTTTTGTCCTTAAAAAAAAAATGCACAAAACTCCCTTTAGTTACAGGTGTTTGGTTTATGCGAAATGTAACCCTGTGGTGTGGTACACTGGGTTCTGTGTTGGGTTGGTAACCACAAGGTCAGCGGTTCAAACCCACTATCCATGTGGTGGGGGCGAGATGTTTTTTTTGCTCCTGTGAAGATAGATGGACAAGCTCTGAAACCCACAAGGGCAGTTCTTCCTGTCCTACAGGGTCATTGTAAGCCAGAACAGACCGGATGGCAGTGAGTAGGATGGGTTTTTTAGAATAAAACTTTTTTACTACCAAAATAACTTCAGGCTTATTTTCAACATAGCAAAAGCTCATAGTTGATAATAAGTACAGGTCTTTGACTTGGGGAGAATCAATTTTATGATTGTAATCGTAATCCTAACACCACTTTGTAGACTAAAAAGCCCATGATTTAATAATTTTATTATACCCCAAATCAAAAAAACCATAGGGACTTCAAAAAGTTCATGGAGGAATGGAATGATTGAATTTTCCCACGAACCTTGACACCCCCTAGTACTTACCCGATTCCTGCATACTAACAACTTGAGCGCAAGTTTTCATGGAACAATTATAAAATCAGGTAGGTAGCACGATGCGGAGATAAAAGCCCAGTTAACGGAAGATTCAGACACACCCAGATCTGATCGTCTAGTCTAATGCATTCCTCATTCCTGGTCATTTACTAAAGTGGGGAAGAAAAAAAAAAAAGAAAGCTACAACCCCAGAAAAAGAAAATCTAAATAACTTAAGTGAATGAAATCACCCATTTGTGGTGAAACACATCAAAGAGGACCTGACCCAAAAATGACAAGTCTGTACACTATTGGGTAGAGTTTGGTTTCTGGAGACTCAAAAGTACAGGTTACTTAATGGGCTTCCAGAGACCTCCAATTCCCCATACCAAGCAAACTTTTACACCCATCTCTGAATCCTCACCTAAGAGCGAGACCCTCTACTTGTTTCGGCGCCTGGGAGATACTGCCCACTAGGGGACACAGGAATGATTCAAGGAAGCAGCAAAAACAGATGGCTACACTTCATCCTGGATTACTGGCTGTAGTACTCTTCCAATTGCCAGAGGGGACAGTAATTCTGCTTCTGAAAAAGGGGCTGGCCGGCCAAGTCAAGTTTGGGAATCTATGCTCTAGACTCCTCTGTCTAATACTGTGCCTGTCTCTACAGCTGTCATCTTGAAAAGTGCGATACCCTGATGAAGTCCTGGTAATGGGTGCACACATTTCCTGTCTACACCCTCTAGGAACCCCAAATCGTTTCAACCTCAATGGTCAGGATTGATTTTGACTCACAGGGACCCTACATGCTGTGAAGACTGTTAATCTTGACCCAACAAACAGCCTTAGCAGCTTTCTCCGGGAGAGTTCTAGCAGGTTCCAAGTGCCAATCTATTGGTTAGCAGCTGAGCACTTTAACCACTACATCTGAAATGGTCCAAATTCAAAACAAGAACTGCTTGTGTCAGGTCAGCAAGTGTTTCCTCAATAGAGAAGATGCAGGCTAGACTGGTTTTATGGTGTCAGCTAAGCAGGCCAACAACCACATCTCCCTCGGCTGCCTATACAGAGTGGTGGTTGTAGTAATGACAATAAATCCCCATCTTGACCCCAGGGTCTGTGTGCCTGGTAAAAGTCACCTGTGTGGATCTGGGCATAATGGAGCTTTCTGAGCAGAGGCCAAACATTCTGCTGCCGGTCATATCGGGACGGAGGTTATTAATTCCTCATTTTGCATTAGTCTGGCAGAAGAGGGAAGCAGCTTGAGATCCTCCTTAAAACCTAACTTCTAGTAGGTGTGCTCATGGCACCTTTGTTCTCTGCGTCACCTTCTTGCTGACTGGTCCTCAGAATAAAGAAAACAGCTGATTTTAAACAAGAAGTTTATTTAAACAACAAGACGCTTGACTTGAAGGGAAAACTAGGCTTCATTTCTTGGAGAGTAATTTACCCCTACTTAAAGACAGATTGCCCTACATGTAACAGCTACGTACAAAAAAGTTATAAAATTGTCCTTGGTTTTAC